CCTCAAACGAAATAGGAGGGTCCCACCCCTGTCAGCGTCTGCCCGGGCCGCTCTGTCCCTGTCCCTGTCCCCACCAACAGCGTCCCGGGCCGCTGGGCACGTGGACGCTGGCTGAGCGCGGAGGAAGGAGGTACGGCACCCCCTGAAACCAGGGATGGTGCGGGGCTGGTGTGTGCAAGGCAGGGTTGGGAACACCGTGGCCCTGCGGCAGGGACAGACAAGGACAGGGAGAGCTTCTTACATTGTCCAGGTAGCTGGGCAGCGCTTCAGCCACGAGTCTCTCGGTGTTCTTGGCCACCTCTGAGAGTTTGACGATGACACAGTTACCTGGGGGGAGATCGACGGGACGTCAGAGCAGCGACATGGTGACAGCCAGCCCCTCTGGCACCCCAGCCGGGGGACGAGGCCCCTGGCCAGACCCCCCTCGCCGGTGCCCGGCACTGCCTGGATCCTCCGGGCCAGGGGACGGGTTCGGCTCACCGGCAGCGATGGCCCCGATGAGGGGCACCAGGAAGAGGTGGATGGGGTAGTTCCAGGGCGCGATGATGAGCACCACCCCGTACGGGTCCTTGCGGATGAAGGCCGAGTCCAGCTGGGTCACCTGCGAGAAAGGCCACGACCTCGGTGCTGCTCCCACCGCCTCCTGCCCCGCCCCAGCCCAGCGCGCGGCGCTGGTGGGTCCTTCCCCCCCCATCCTCTCCCTCACCGTCCCCCTTACCAGACTCCTGTCCACGTGCTCGTCCTTCATCCAGTGGGACAGGTTGTTCAGCGTCTCGTGAAGCTCGTTCTTGCAGAGGGTGATCTCGATGATTTCGGCTTCGAAGCGCGGCTGGGGACCCAGAGCACCCCACGTGTCAGCTCTGCGCGTGCTTCAACACCGCAGCAGCTCTTAGCCCTACCCTGCATATTTTTTTTACCCAGGATTTGGGGGCCGGGGCCCTTCATGTCCCGTGGTGGATCCGCACTTTGCTCTTGCCCCCAAGCTGCACGGCACAGCCCACCGTGGGGAGGGGGTGAGCCCCACCACGTCTGCGGTGTTGGGGTTTGGTGAGCTCCGAAATCACGTTGCGGTATCACCGGGCCAGACCTGTCGGCAGCGACCTGCCTGCGGCCGGGCTTTCCCTGCCGCGAGCTCGGTTGAGGTTTGGGAAAATTAAGTATTTGGGGAGGAGAGGGTGTCTGTGAAGGCAGTGGTGGTGTTTTGGGGAAGAAAGGGCTGGTCTGGCTATTGAGAGCTGTTTGGTCTGGAGACAGGAGCATCCCGCGTCACAACTCCTTTTTCTATCCCATTTTCACACCGGCACGATCGAAACAAGCGAGTTGATGGGCTCCAGCAGGATGGGCTGTTTTTTTCAGGACCTGCCAGAGTTTAGCTCAGGTAAGAGTCTGCAGGGATTTAGCCCAATAAATAAAAGCTCGGAAGAAAGCTGGGTGCAAGTCCCCCCGGCACGCCCCTTCACCTGGCTTTGACTTTCCCACCGTGGACATGTCGCCGGCATGGGTGGTGCTGACGGCCGGCTCTGCCAGCAACGGTGGAAGGGGAGGTGAATGGGGACTGGCGGGGAAGGGGGCGGCAGGTTCGAAGGATAAAACCAACCAGTTCTGGGGCATATCCACCACCCAGGTGCCAGGATTTGGGAGGAAATACGGGAGAAAAGGGAATATCCAGATTTTGGAGCCTGTTTGTGCGGGGGTTTTTTTGGCAGAGTGAGCTGAGAAAGCTGGGAGGGGATCCACCACCGAGCCGAGGAAGGAGGGAGAGCAGGAAGCAAAGGCTTCCAGAGGCTGTCCTCAGCAGGGCGGGAGGAGGGACGGTCATGCGGAGAGGGAATCCGAAGGGCGGAGGAGTTTGGGAGCAGCGCAGGCGCGTGGCTCGGCACGACGTGGGGAGGAGAAGCAAGCTGAAGGGAGAAGTTGTTCAGGGTGCCGTTGATCTCATTCTTGCAGAGGAGGATCTCGGTGAAGTAAGCCTCAAAGGACGGCTGGGGACAGACATCACATAAGCATCACCCCAACGCTGACCCCACCTCCTCCCCATCCGCCTTGGACATCTCCCCCCTCTTCCGC